AACGAAAGAGCACCATAGACGACGAAGACGATGAAAGCGACCGTGCTCGTGTTGTTGTTTCTGCTGGTCTTCCATCTTGGCTGCAGCTGCCTCTGACTCTCCCTGTATATTGTGTAAATATATTTATTTCATTCATTCTCTCACCCCCGTAACATTTGGTGGAGGTGCGGGGTATGGGAAATCTTTGACAACTCGAATTTTGTCAGGATCAGGTTGCATGCCTCGAGCACTGACAATGTGGCCCAGCACAGTGATTTCCCGACGGCCAAAGCGACATTTGGAAGAGTCGAGCTGAAGTCCTGCTTTCCGGAAAACCTCAAGAACAGCCGTTAGGCGGCTAAGGTGGCTTTCGAATGTAGGTGAAAATACGATGACGTCATCGAGATAGCACAGGCATGTGGTCTATTTGTATCCACGCAGGAGAGAGTCCATCATTCTTTCAAATGTAGCTGGCGCATTACACAATCCGAATGGCATAACCTTCAACTGGAAAAGTCCATCCGGTGTGATGAATGCGGTTTTCTCATGGTCTCAATGATCGACAGAAATCTGCCAGTATCCTGATCGCAAGTCGATAGATGAAAAGTAGGCAGACCCATGTAGGCAGTCGAGAGCATCGTCAATCCGCGGCAGTGGATACACGTCCTTACATGTTACTTTGTTTAAGTGACGGTAGTCTATGCAGAAGCGCCAGCTGCCATCCTTCTTCTTGACTAGCACGACTGGTGATGCCCATGGACTGAGGAAGGTTCGATGACGTCTTTTGTGAGCATTTCTTCAACTTCGTGCTGGATAACTTGTCGCTCAGCATAACTCACGCGATAAGGACGTCGTCGGATGGGGCTGGCGTCTCCAGTGTTAATCCTATGAGTTACAAAGGATGTCGGACGCAAAGGGCGGTCATCAAAATCAAATATGTCGCGGTAGGATTTCAGCAGGTGCCGGATGTCAGCTGTCTGTGCTGGAAGAAGGTCCGGAGCAATCATCTTGTCGATGGTGTCATCCGCGGTGCTCTTCGAGGATGAAAACGGAGCAAAGGACGAAGAAGATTCGGCAACGAACGCCGAAATGGCAGCATCTATAGAAAAAACTTTTGCCAGAGTCATACCATTTGGGATAACTTGAGCGCACCAGCTGAAGTTTAGGATCGGAAGAGATGCTGTTTTTCCCGTGACTGTCAAAAGTGTGTGAGGCACGGCAACATTTTTGGCCAGCAGAACGTAAGCAATAGGTGTCAACATGTAGTCACCATCGGGAACAGGAGGGACAGATCTCAGGTTCACGTAAGTAACGGCTTGAGGTGCTAGGCGAACGTGATCTGCAGAACACAGACGGTGTTGAGCTGGTGTTGGGTCGTCATGGTAACACGGTAAATCAAGTTGAAGCATGCTGGTTCCACAATCAATAAGGGCAGAGTGGGTGGATAAGAAGTCCATGTCGAGGATAAGTTCATGGGAACATTTCTCGAGCACAGCAAATAGCACTGTCGTGGAGCGATCAGCTACACTTATACGCGCGGAGCACATTCCAAGCACGGGAAACGTGCCGCCGTCTGCGACCAGGATGAGTGGCACTCTGGGTGGCGTTAAAACTTTCCTAAGGCGGCAACAAAGTTCTGAATTCATCACTGATATGTGAGCCCCTGTGTCCACCAGTGCAACAACGGGTGTGTCATCTACTTCAACGTCAATAAGGTTGAGTCGAGTTGGCAGCATGGTCAGAGGATTTGGCGGGCAAGTGGTTGATGCAGCATCACCTCCGGGAGCTGCATCATCTAGTTTTCCCGCGGCAGGTGGTCAGTCGGCGACGTTGGTCGGCGAAATTGGGGCGAGCGAGACGATGGGCGACGGGAGAGCGGTGAACGGGACTGGTGAGCATGCGGAGATGGAGAGCGACGACGATATGGCGGCATAGAAGGAACGTCTTCTTTGGTGACCTGAGGTGACTCCCGGTAAGTTTGAAAGCGTCCATGATCCCTCTCTGGCCGATGGGTGTACCCATAGGATGCCTGATGCCAATACCACCGAGTGTTACAATGGCAGGCCACGTGTCCGATACGGTGGCAGTTGAAACAAATCGGGCGATCGTCAGCAGTCCTCCACTCAACTGAATTGCGAGGGCGCGCCGGAAGGTTTTGGCTTTGGGCATACGAAACATGGGGTCGACGACGGTTGATCGGCTGAGAGAGAGCTGTAGTGCACTCGGAGGCCAGTCCAGCATTGAAAAGCTCTTGTCGCACAATGGCATGTACCAGTGGCACCATCTGAGGGCTAGAGTCACAGGCATGGGAGCACGTGGACGCAGGAGACAGAGCTTCAAGTTCACGTCTGATGATCTTGGTCACGTGCTCTGCAGTTAACGGCGTCTGTAGCGCAGGCCTGTCTTCGCACGTCCAGGTTGCTGCTGTGTTCGGTAGTCGAGTAAAATTATGGGCGATACGTCGACTTTTTGCGGCCTCAAAACGCTGGCACTCCTTGATGATGGCATCGACCGTGTTGCAGTCCTTGCATATGGGAAGGTTGAATGCATCATCTGCAATGCCTTTCAATATGTGTGCTACTTTTTCGGTTTCTTCCATACCGTTGTCCGCTTCTCGGCAAAGGGCAAGCACGTCCTGTATGTAAGTCACGTAGGACTCTGTTGACGTTTGCGCACGAGATGCCTTCTTGGCCGCTGCCTTTCTACCCACAGACTTGCCGAAAAGGGCGCGCATCTTTTCTTTGCTCGCATCCCAGCTTCCAATTTCATCTTCGTGGTTCTCGAACCACACTTTTGCTGTTCCTTTCAAGTAGAACAGATTATTGGCTAACATAAGAGTTTCATCCCAGCGGTAATTCTTACTTGTACGTTCGTACAGCGGCAACCATTCTTCGATGCCCACATCATCCGTGCCACAGAACGTGCCAGGATCTTTTAGCTGCAGAAGGACAACAGTTGTTGTAGTCGCCTCGGCGGGAGCCGGTCCCTGGTTTGCCATGGTAGAAAAATTCAAGCGTCGGCCACTGCGGAGCTCCGTTATATCGTGTTGTACCCCGCACCACCACCAAGTGTTCTGTGCGCCGATACGTTGCTGCATGTGAGTCCTGCCAGCGCTCCAAACATTCCACCTTGCCACCAGCTGGTCCACTCCAACCAATAGACATACCCACCGTTCCCTTCTACCGCATCGGTCTTGATCTCGTTGGACCATTTCCTACTTCTCTCACCGGAAACAAGTGGATAGCCGTAGCCACTGATTACGCCACAAGATACGCTATTATACGAGCGCTACCGAGAAGCTGTGCCACTGACGTCGCGGACTTCTTGCTTCATGACGTAATTCTTCACCATGGCGCTCCTCGACAGCTGCTGACTGATCGTGGTCACTCATTTCTTTCAAAAGTAGTAAGTGACATCCTTCGCTCGTGTTCGACGCGTCACAAGCTCACTACGGCCTATCACCCACAAACAAATGGTTTTACCGAGCGCCTAAATCGAACATTGACAACAATGCTCTCCATGTACGTTTCCAAAGATCACCTTGATTGGGATAGTACTTTGCCTTATGTGACATTTGCGTACAATTCATCATGCCACGACACCGCTGGATTCTCCCCCTTCTATTTATTGTTCGGCCGCCATCCAGCGTTACCCTTCAAGACTCTTCTCCCATCAACTACGCAAACGGTTACAGAGTACGCCCGGGATGCCACTGCTCGGGCTCAAGTGGCCCGCCAAATCGCACGGCAACGTCTTCTTGGCTCGCAGCTCTCTCAGAAGGCCCGCTACGATAGCCATCACAGAGTAGTTTCCTGCTCTCCAGGTTCATTGGTCTTCCTCTGGACACCATGCCGTCCCGTTGGCCTCTCTTCGAAGCTCCTGTCTCGCTACTCGGGGCCTTACAAGGTTTTACGCCGGCTTACCGATGTCACATACGAGATTGCTCCGTTGGACAGTCAGTCATCGTCGTCCGCACTTGCTACTGACGTCGTCCACGTGACCCGCCTCAAACCGTACATATCCGCATATGATCCTACTCTCCTTTAGGCGCCGAGACGGCGCTGCCAGCAGGGGGGGGGGGTCATATGTTACACGACATCAGCAACGAAAGAGCACCATAGACGACGAAGACGATGAAAGCGACCGTGCTCGTGTTGTTGTTGCTGCTGGTTTTCCAGCTTGGCTGCAGCTGCCTCTGACTCTCCCTGTATATTTTGTAAATATATTTATTTCATTCATTCTCTCACCCCCGTAACAATATTATATCTCTTAACTTGCCTACCTCTGTACGACTCGTTTTCGATGGGAGCTGCTGCGCTTCGCTCATCCACTCTTAAAATTGTGGCTCGAGGCTTTCACTTGTTCTTAGGCCACGCAATTTGTACTGTTTGTAGTGAACGCGAGATAATGGGCCCTCGTAGGTCGTGGTGGGCACCCAGTGTACACAATGGCTGGTATACGTGTCGCACATCTTGATTTTCTGGTCTTGTATCGAGTTAACAAGCGAGGTCTTCCCGATTCGATGAGCTCGTTAAAGTCATCATTATCATCATCAGCCTGACTGCGTCCACTGCAGGACAAAGGCCTCTCCCATGCCAGTTAACTCGGTCTTGTGCTTGCTGCTGCCAATTTATACCCGCAAACTTGTTAACCTCATCTGCCCACCTAACCTGTCTCCCCTAACTATCTTGCCTTCTCTGGGAATCCTGTTAGTTGCCCTTAATGGCCAGCGGTGGTCCTGTCTACGTGCTACATTCCCGGCCTATGTCCATTTCGTCTTCTTAATTTCAACTATTATATGCAACCCCCCTTTGTTCCCTAATCCACTCTGCTCTCTTCTTTTTCTTAAGGTTACACCTACCATTTTTTCGATTGCTCGCTGCGTCGTCCTCAATTTAAGCTGAATCGCCTTTGCAAGTCTCCAGGTTTCTGCTCCGTAGCTAAATACCGACAAGATACAGCTGTTATATACCTTTGTAGTAACACAGGCGCGCGCAGCGAAGCAGCAAAGGCGATGGTCGGGCAGTCAACGACGGCGTTTATTGTCCACAGCGTGGTTATATACATTGGCATTAGGAGAGGGTGAAGGGAGGGGGGAAAGAGGGAGAATGAAGGCGCACAGGGCCCAAACGAAATGGTGCGCGCGCAGCTGGTTTTGCCGGCGTTACAAACGAAACAAATACAACATTTCTTTCCTCTTAAAAGTGGAACCGTTGGACCGGGTTCCTAACTCTTGTCGATCGCCTCAGCGTTGCCTGATGCGGGACCGCCTCAGGCGAGTGTTCGTCCGTAGCGACTGGAGGTTCCGTAGCAGCTGGTGGGGAAAACTGACTCCGACCATCTGCTGCCGGTAGCTCTGGGCTTCGCTCTTGGTCATTCCGCCTGGACGTGCGTTGCAACGCAGGAGACGGGACAGGAGTAGTCACGCTGGCAGGTTCAGCTTCAGTGTCCGCGCCTTCAGCCGTCCCCGCAGTTGCAGACTCCGGCGTCGATTCGTGGCGGCGGCGGACTTGGTCGATATGACGCTGCACTAACCCTCTTGGTGTGTCCACTGCTATCATTCTCGCCCCCGACGCAGCTTTTACGCGTCCAGGCGTCCATCTTTTGCCGGCACCGTAGTTGCGCACGTAGACGCTGCTTCCTGGCGAGATGGTCCAATCGTCAGCACCCGGCGACCAGTTCTCATCCCTGGGCGGCAGGCAGGTATCAAGAAGGGACCGCAGCTGGTAACCGACAAGCATCTCCGAGGGTGACTTTCCTTCTTTTTGCGGGGTCCTCATGTAATGGAATCGCAGGCGCATGATGTTATCTTCTAGTGGGCCATCTTGCATTTTCCGGAAGCCATCCTTAAGGGTTCGCACTGCTCTTTCCGCTGCTCCATTCGACTGAGGATGGAAAGGCGCTGTATGCAAATGCACAATACTGTTTCTTGCTACAAACGTGGCGAACTCCTGGCTCGTAAATTGCGTTCCATTATCGGACACGATTGTGCGTGGCACTCCGAACCGACAAAACAGACTTCGTAAGCAGCGAGTAGTACCTGCTGTGTTCGCATGCATCATAGGTATTGCTTCAATCCACTTCGTGTGAGCATCTACCACCCGGCTAATGGGCCCGCAAAATCGATGTGGATCCGGGACCACCTCTCGGCCGTTTTCGGCTAACTCACCGGTGGTGCTGCCGCAGGCATGGGCAGGTTTTCTACACAGCTTACACACTGCGCCAACAATTCCTGAATCTCCCTGTCCATCCCTGGCCACCAAAACAGTGACCGTGCCACCGCTTTCATTGACGAGGAGCCTTGTTGTGCTTCATGTAGCAGCTTCAACATCCTTTCCTGCGCCTTCGTGGTATGACGACTCTGTTGCCCCAATATATTAGCCGGTGAGCCATCGACAGCTCCATTTTGCGATCAAAAAAGGGCAGCAAGTCGGGCACCATTCCACTTGTTGTTCGAGGCCAGCCATGCAAGATGTATTCCGCGACACGGGCTAACAACGAGTCCTTGGCAGTGAGCTCCTGCAACTCGTGCGTCGTCACTATACCTTCGTCCAGGGCCTCTAATGACAGGACGTACTCGGGAGGCTCCCCTTCGGCTACTGGTTCCGCTGCCGCCGGGGCTGGTAGTCTGCTGAGGGCATCTGCTGTCAGTAGTTGTTTCCCCGGAACGTACTGTAGCTTGTACTGGTAGCCTCCAAGGAACAGTGCCCACCGTTGAATGCGCGCGGCGGCCATCGGCGGCGTTTGGCGGTCAGGCCTGAGCAGTCCCAGCAGTGGCTGATGGTCGGTTACCAGGGTGAATTGCCGACCTAGGAAGTAGTCACGAAAGCCAGAAACGCCAAACATCAGTGCCAAGGCTTCTCGCTCCAGCTGAGAGTAGTTTCGCTCCGCTTTTGTTAACGTTCTGGAGCGAAAACCAATTGGTCTATGCTCATTTCCCGCCGAGTGAAACAGAACAGCACCCACGCCATACGGGCAAGCATCACATTCTAGCTTCAGTTCCCTGTTGGGATCAAAATGAACGAGAAGCTGCGCATTCTTCAACATTTCTTTCGCTTTCTCGAACGCTGACTGCTGCGGTTCCCGCCATTCCCAACGGGCTCGTTTTTCCATGAGCTGATACAAGGGGCTGAGCACAGTCGATATGTTGGGCAGGAAACGTGCGTAAAACGTGAGCATACCAAGAAACGAGCGCAATTCGCTAACGTTACGCGGGTGCGGGGCTTGCATGACGGCGTCTACGTTCTTTTCAATGGGGTGGAGGCCTTGCCAATCTATACGATGGCCAAGGTAAGTCACAGAATGTTGCCGAAGCTTGCATTTGTCAATCCTAAGTTTAACGCCGTGCTCTCGGAACCGCTCCAACACTCTCTTGAGCTGCTCTCCGTTATCACTCTTGCGTTCTGACACTAGCACGTCGTCAAGGTAGGCTTGAACGCCCGGCAGCCCGCCGAGTACTGCATTCATTTTTCTTTGAAAAATGGCCGGTGCGGAAGCTATTCCAAACGGAAGTCTGTTATACCGGAAAAGCCCTCAGTGCGTGTTAATGACACACAGCCCGCTGGACGCTTCGTCTAGGGGCACTTGATTATATGCATCTTTTAAATCCAAGATGCTGAAATATTCGCCTCCGTTTAAGCTTGCGAACATGTCCTCTATCACCGGAAGAGGGTAATGCTCCACCTCACAAGCCGGGTTAAGGGTAACCTTAAAGTCACCGCATATTCTCACGCTCCCGTCCTTTTTCAAAACGACCACAATAGGTGTAGCCCATTCTGCATGTTGCACGGGCGATAGAACACCAAGTGACACCAGCCGATCAATTTCACGAGAGACCTTATCACGGAGCGCGCAAGGAAGAGATCTGGGCTTACAGAATTTCGGTGTCGCTGTCTCCTTGAGTTTTAGGCTGGCTGGTGGACCTTTGATTAGTCCAAGGTCTGTTGAGAAAACATCCTCGAACTCGCCGAGCAGTCGGTTCAGCATAGGGTCGCTTGGCTCGGCGCTTGCTGTAGGGTTCGGCGCAGTCAGATCTCCAATGGGAACGCCCGTCTTGCTAAGCAAAGCAATGAGATCGTGGCCACATAGGCTGGGTCCTGCACAGTCAAGCACGATGAGCGGGCAAGGCACAGATACATTTTTATACTTCACTGAGAGTTCGAGTTCCCCCAACACCGGAAGCTGTCCCGCGTAACATGACAGCTTGATTCGTGGTAGTTGTAAGCGCGGCCACTGTGCGTGGTGTCGATCGTACACTTGGCGCGATACGACGCACACCGGGGAACCAGTATCCACTTCCATGGCAATGGGTACGTTGCCCCATCGAAACGTGCGGCGTATGGGTGGTTCCAAACCGTTTTTTCTTCCCGAAATCAACGTCCAAACGTGTGCGCTTTCCAGATCGTCGTTGCTAGACGCGTTTTCAACTGTCAGTGCCTTTACACTCGCTGCCCGCCTTCCCACCTTTGCATCAGTTGGAGCACTGTAGCAATTTTTTGCCAAATGACCGCGCCGCCCACAGTGATAGCAGCGTGCGTTAACCCAGCGGCAGGCGTTATCGTCGTGCTTCGTGCTTCCACATCGGCCGCAGTCATGCGACGCGCCTAGTGTACGATTACCTCGAGAGGGCGAGCGATGATGGGCTTGCATTTTTAGCACAGTCGGCGGCTCTGCACTCATAACTTTTGCATCACTGTCGGTTGCCTCGGCTGCAATGGACATTGATTCAGCCTCCTCGAGGGTTAAATTTTTATGTGCCAGTAACTGCTTGCGCAAGTTAGTTGAGCGTACGCCGCAAACAATCCTGTCCCTCAACATCCGGTTCAGCGCACTTCCAAAGTTGCAATTGTCTGCTATGCGCCGTATTTCGACTAGGAATGCGTGCACCGACTCCCCTTCTTGTTGGCAACGGGTAAAAAACTTGTAGCTTTCTGCAATCTTGTGACGCTTGGGATCGTAGTAGTCATTTAATGCTGCGACTGCTTCGGCGTAAGTAAGGTAATTCGGCGTCCGAGGTGCAATTAGCCCCGCTAGCACTTGCACAGTCTGCGTGCTGAGTGCTGCCACCAGAAGTGCTCTCTGCCTTTTAAAGTCAGTAATAGCATTTGCTTCAAAATACGATTAAGCCCGAAAAAGGTATGGTTTCCACTTATCTCTTGTGTCGTCGAAAACCGGGAGCTGGAGGCTGGTCATGGTCGCCGGTACTTGTTGCGGCAGGCCGTCGGCTTCAACTTTCACGGCAGCATGGGCGGTTTCCGGGCTCGTCGCCACTGTAGTAACACAGGCGCGCGCAGCGAAGCAGCAAGGACGATGGTCGGGCAGTCAACGACGGCGTTTATTGTCCGCAGCGTGGTTATATACATTGCCATTAGGAGAGGGTGAAGGGAGGGGGAAAGAGGGAGAATGAAGGCGCACAGGGCCCAAACGAAATGGCGCGCGCGCAGCTGGTTTTGCTGGCGTTACAAATGAAACAAATACAACAACCTTCCTCTTGAGGGATAGTGGCAATCTACCTGTCATTATTTGAGAGTGCTGGCCGAATGTACTCTACCCTATTCTTATTCTTCCAGTTACTTCAATCTCGTGGTTCGGCTCCGCGGTTATTACCTGCACTAAGTGTACATAGTCTCTGATAACTTCAAGTGGGCTATTATCTGTCTCAAAGCGCTGCTGTTTTTCAAGGTTGTTGTACATTACTTTACTTTTCTGAAGATCATTTTAAGACCCACCTTTCTTCTCTCCTTGTCTAACTCCATAATCATGACTTGCAATTTGTCTCCTGAGTTACTCAGCAATGCAATGTCACCGGCGAAGCGCCGCTTACTAAGGTACTTTTCATTAACTCTTATCCCTAACTGTTCTCATTCCAGGCTTCTGAAAACCTCCTGTAAACACGCGGTAAATAGCATTGGGGAGATTGTATTCCCCTGCCTTACACCCTTCTTGATTGGTATTCTGTTGCCTTCCTTATGTTGCATTGTGGTAGCAGTTGATCCGCTGTACATTTCTTCCAGGATGTTTATATATGCTTCATTGATGCCATGATTCTGCGGTGTCAGCATGACTGCTGATATTTCAACTGAATCAAACGCCGGCTCGTAATCTATGAAGCCTATGTATACTGGTTGGTTATATTGTGAGCATATCTCTATTACCTGATAGTATGAATGTGGTCGAGTGTTGAGTAGTTTGTCCGAAATCCTGCTTGTTCCTTTGGTTGATTGAATTCTAATGTTTTCTTAACTCTGTTAGCAATTACTTTTGTAAATAGCTTATATACTACGAAGAGCAAGCTGATCGGCCTGTAAATATTCAAGCCCTTGTCATCTCCTTTCTTATGTATTAAGTTGATGCTAGCATTCTTCCAAAACTCTGGTACTCTTCCTGTCAGGAGACACCTCGTAAACAGGGTGGCTAGCTTTTCTAGCACAACCTGTCCTCCATCTTTCAGCAGATCTGATATTACCTGATCCTCATCGGCAGCTTTGCCTCTTTGCATGCTCTCCAGGGCTTTTCTGACTTTTTCTATTATTACTGGTTGGCTGTCATCTGGGTTACTGCTAGGTCTTATAGTATTGATGTCCTAGTTGTCCCAGCTACTGTACAGATCTCTGTAGAGCACCTCTGCCATTTTAACTATCCTATCCATATTGGTAGTTATTTTGCCTTCTTTGTCCCTTAGTGCATACATCCGATTTTTCCCTATCCCAAGTTTCTTCTCAACTGCTTGTACGCTTCCTCCGTTTTTCAGAGCGTGTTAAATTCTCTCCATGTTAGTATAGCTTCTTACATCAGATACCTTACGCTTATTAATCAACTTTGCAAGCTCTGACAGTTCTATTTTGTCTGTTGTACTTGAGATTCTCGCGCTTCCTAATAAGATTCTTCGTTTCCTGGGAAAGCTTGCCAGTGTCCTGTTCAACTACCCTGCCTCCAACTTCCATTGCGCACTCCGTAATGATACTCGTCAGATTATAATTCATTGTCTCTACACCAAGGTTGGTTTCCTCAATGAGAGCCGAGTACCTGTTCTGAAGCGAGACTCTGCATTCCTGTACTTTCCCTCTCAGTGCTACTTCATTGATTGGCTTCTTTCGTATCATTTTTAGACGTTCCTTTTTCAAGCCAAGGCGAATTCGAGACCGTACCATTCTATGGTCACTGCATCGTACCCTGTCAACCACTTCCACATCCTGCACGATGCCTGGCTGTGCACTCATTATAAAGTCTATTTTATTCTTTTTTTGGCCATTAGGGTTCCTCTATGTCCACTTACGGCTTCCTTGTTTTTTGTAGAAGGTATTCAAAACCTCTGAATTACTGCGTTCTGCAAAATCCACTAGTAGCTCTCATCTGCCATTTCTAGTACCGATGCAATAATCTCCTACTGCCTGGTCTCTAGCCTGCGTTTTTCCTACCTTTGCATTAAAGTCTCCCGTCAGTATAGTATACCGTGTTTTTACCTTACTCATTGCCGATTCCACGTCTTCATATAAAGTTTCAACTGAAGCGTCATCATGGCTGGGTGTAGGCGCGTAAGCCTTTATCACCTTCATCTTGTATCTCTTATTGAGTTCAATTGCGATACCTACCACCCTTTCATTAATGCTATAGCATTCCTCTATGTTGCCAGCTATGTTTCTGTGAATTAGAAACCCCACTCCCACTTTTCTTCTGACAGCGAATCCCCGATAGCAAAGGACGTGCCCATTCTGTAGCACCGTATAGGCCTCATGTGTTCTCCTAACCTCATTGAGCCCTATTATATCCCATTCGATATTCTCTAGCTCCTCGAATAGTACAGCTAGACTTGCCTCACTAGATAAGGTTCTAGCATTAAATGTTACCAAGTTCAGGTTCCATTGGCAGCCTGCCCAGATCCAGAGATTCTTAGCACCCTCGGCTGCATAGCAGATCTGACCGCCGCCGTGGTCAGTTGCTTCGCATCTGCTGGGGACGGAGGGTCGTGAGTTAATTGACATCACCTTGAATCAAACAACTTCTTCTTCTCCCATCAGCATGGCTTTGGAAAAGGCTACTCAAGAGCACCCAGTTATGCGAATTCACGACTGGCCTTCACTTCAATTTGAACGCTAACGAACAAACCGATTGCCTCTTTCTTCATTTCGCCAAGGCATTCGATACTGTCCCTCATCGTCGTTTAATCTCTGAATTGGCCACACTCCTGATTGATTAATTAATTCTGTCTTGGCTACAAAGCTTCCTCTCTTCCCGTGAGCAACTTACGGTGATCAACGACATTTCATCTGACCTTCGCGACGTCACATCCAGAGTTCCCCAAGACAGTGTAATAGGTCCGTTACTTTTCCTAATATACATTATTGATTTGCCCGATAACCTTTCATCCACAGTTAGGTTGTCCGCTGACGATTGCGCCATATACCGCAACATTCAATGTTTTAATGATCATTCCACTCTCCAAAAGGACCTTGACCTAACCTTTCGGTAGTGCGAAACTTGACAGAAGTCTCTTAACGCCTCTAAATGCAAGTTAATCGCGTTCACTCGAAAGCATACCAATTCAGCATTTCACTATAAGAATAACAACGCCGTTGTGTCAGCTACACCATCTTACAAATATTTACGCATTCACCTTACATCGGATCTATCCTGGACTACGCATATAGCAGCTGTCTCATCGAAAGCCTCTCCATCTCTCAGATATCTCCGCAGAAACTTGCGCAACACTCCTTCTAACGTACGCGCATTGTCATATTTTTACGAATAAATAGAGCACCTGCTACTATATAAATTATTTAGGGCGAAATTGTGCCCGTAAACTCAAAACTAAAAATGCTCAGCCAAAGCGTCTCTTGCTCGCTGACTCCAACCTCGTTGGTCTCTTCATCTGCCCCTCAAGTCTCGCGCCAGTCCCGTGGCGTAGCATCGTGGCACGTGCAGGACGGCGTTCCATGGCGCGGCTTTCTTGCTACTTGTGTGGCGGCTTTTACGAACGCGAATTGTGGCATGCGTCTTCTGCGATGGCCGAGCTGTGGCATTAGTCCGCCTCTTAGCACGCATCGCCCCGATGCGTAGAACCGGCTGACAGTTTCTAAACGATAGGACGTGTCCTTGTGTTAGACGATGTGAGTCCGTTCACTTGTTCAGTTCTTGTCGTTGCACGGTTTCATCCGTGCTACATGTACAACTTCCGGGAGATTCCTGCATCGTGTTGTGCATACTTGACCTTTAGGGATCACTTAGTAGTCTAATGTGCCTAGCTGATGAAGAACCCTGTAAGGGCCAAAATAGCGCCGCATAAGCTTTTATGATAGGCCACGTGCACGTACAGGCATCCAGACCCACACTTGGTCTGCAGGAGAGTACTGAACGTCCTTTCGTCTTAGATTGTAACGGTGCGCGTCGACATCCTGCTGTTGAATGATGTAGTTCCGTGCTAGCTGTCGCGCCTCTTCTGCCCTTTCTACATATTCGCTTATGTCAGGCTTCTCTTCATTCGTGCTATTGACAGACAGCATCGCGTCTAATGTCGTTATTACTGTCCGACCATTAACAAGTTGAAATGGCGTGAAGGGGTTGTCTCTTGTACTGCGGTATTGTATGCAAATGTAGCATACGGTAATATGGTGTCCCAAGTCCAATGCTCGACGTCCACATACATC